ACGTCAGTTAACATGGAAAATTGCACATTTTTCAAAATTTCGACTTAGCAAACAAATATGAAGAAAAAGGGGCATTTTTAAAGGCATTAGGAAAATCCTACACAAAGTGTATGTAGTTGACTTTCCAAAAATTTGTAGTAATTTTTGGTGTTGTTTACAGGTCAATGTAGCGAGATTGGACAATAAACACACGCACGCACGCACGCACGCACGCACGCACACACACACACACACACACACCTACTTTCTACAATCGACAGAAAATGTTTATTCAGCATTTTCTGAAACAGTTGGTTTGTTATATCATTTATTTTTTTCGTCTCTAGATACAATGTTCTCCGCCAGTCAGATGGTTTAGAAGATATGGGTACAATGCAATGGCATCTTGTTCTAAGTAATTTTGTGGCGTGGCTTATTGTAGTTGCCAGTCTAATCAAAGGTGTAAAATCCCTAGGAAAGGTAACAGCTTTATACTGGATTTTATCTTCGTGATGATTGAATATTCGGTTAACAGAAGATACAGGGTAAAATATATCGGTCATGATCTATTGAACTAATTTTATTTTCACACGGATGTTAAACATGAAACTATTTATGATTGACGGCTTTTGTTGACTTGTTTCTTTGACCTCATGTAGTACGGTCACTACAACCTTACAATAACAATTCATTTAAGGGTATGAATGGAGCGATGTTTAAAAGATAATTGTTTCGTATAAACTTTACTTTTAAAATCCCCTGAAAAAAAAAAACATTATTAAACTTTAAAGAAACATTCGTTCTTGGCCATTTTAATTTTCACCCAAAGGATGATTAGGGGTGGGGGTGGCTGAATGACATATTCTTCTTAAATACTTAAGGTTTTCAATTGCTTTTTGATAAATAGAACGTTCATAGAAAGGCAAAAATAATTAATTCTATCTACGTCTCAAATAAATTGTGACAGACCAGAACATGTTTTCAAATCGATCATATATATACAAAATACATGTATAATTTGAAATATGTAAAGATTAGATTATGGTATTTTCACAAAGTCTGTATAGAAACAACTAAATCATCTAGTCAGTTGGTGAATTGAATTATAAATGACATTTAAAGAAAAAGAGTTTCGTTTTTTGAGCAATCATCCATGCAACAATCAGGGCATTGTGCCTGAAACCCCCCCCCCCCCGATCTTTGCTGTTTCTGAAATAGTTTAGTTTTTATCAGAAAACTTTGTCGGAACTAAGATATTCAGCGTTATTTCTTAACATCAGGCGGGCTAGAGACTAAATATTTTCTGAATTCTTCTATTTTTTTCCCTAGGAATTACTTGATTTATCACAAAAGATGTTAAGATGTTAATCGAACCGCACGCTAGTCTTTTGTTTCCTTCTTGTAAACTAATTGGTAATGACGGGTTATAGTTTATTTTCTTAGAAACATTCACCGTACAGTAAAACAGTATTTCGCGAGAGTTATCTCCAAAACTACTGGAAAAGTACGTGCATTGAACTTTGTTTACATGTATTTTGTACAAGCTTCTGGTATATTTCCATCAGCATTTACGTATAATTTTAGCAAACTTTACCTACCGGGTAGAAAGCCAGTTTTCGGACAAACTATTTTTCAAGATTATCCTTCATTGCATTTATATTGAAACGCAGGAACATGGTGATAAATGCTAAAATAATAACATCATCGCAAACACGAGAAAGGTTTTTAAAAATAACAACACAATTTTGTACTCTTAAGAAAGGAGTTGCTTTATAAACAAATATTTAACGCTTAATCATAACATTATCTCGCAATCTGTGTTAATAAAAGAACAAGAATAATTTGTCTTATTGTGCGCTTTTTAGAAGTAAGGGGAAGCCCCGAAATTTAGGGGCCTGTCCGGGAAATTAAAAATCCCGTTTGCTATTGCTCCTGGTTGATAACTTTGCCCCGGTAAAAAATCCGGGGTTTCAGCCCTGCGGGGAATACTTTTTCTTTCAAAATGATAAAATTTCATTGATTTATAAGTCTAACAAGATTTTCTCTCTCATTTTATAGTAAAAAACTAATAGATTTTTAACTTTTCCCAAGTAAAATTTTTCATGTGTTTATATTAATGCACACATTTGGGAAGTATATAGGACATTCGCCCAATTTTAGGTGGATATTGTGACAGCCACGCACCTAAAAATTTTTCCCTACAAACCCTGTTTTGGGTTTAATTAGAGGAATTAAACCCCAGAGGGGCGCCATAGATGGTTTTAATTTTGGTTTATATTCCCCCAAATTTTAAAAAAAAAACTTATCACCACAGGTAAAGTCATTATGAATTCTGTTTTAAATTCAAAAATGGGTTTTAGGCAAAAACCCTCTGGGGAATGGGGTGGTTAAGGTATCTGCTTTTTAAATTCACGAGTTTTCACCTCTGTACTTTCGAACCCCTTACGGAAGTTTTGGAATGGGTTTTTAAAGGAAGCTATTCCCTCTTGCGGATTTTTTGGGGGTTTTCCCTACTTTAAAATAACCCTTTGCTAAAATGTTTAAAAACAAAGGGGAAAATCATCACCAAAAAACCCCCTGGAGAGTCGCGATAATCATAAACATTTACCCATTTTGTGAAAAACAAAACGGTTTTTTAAAGTTTAAATTTATAATTTAAATTTTTTGTTATCAGTCAAATGCTGTAATTATCCCAATTCCCAAAACAAAAACGTATGCAAAATGTTTAAAACGGGGGGTTTTTTTACTTTTAAAATTTTTGTGTCACCTTTGTACTTTAGTTAATGTTACTGTTATTTTAACCAAAGACAAAAATTTTTTTAATTTTGGAAGTTTTTAAATTTATTACATATTTAAAAAAAAATAAAAACTTTTTAAAATTATTGCGGACTTTTTTCCCTTTTCCAAAAATTTTTTAAAAAAAAAAAAAAAAGTTTTAACAAGAAAATAATTTTAATTATAAAATAAAAATTAAAAACTTTTAAAATGAATAAAATTTTTAATTTAATTTTTAATTTTTCATTTCACAACCCTTCTCATTTAAAAATTAAATAAAATTTTACATGTATATTTTACGTCACAACCTATATGTGTTATTATAATTTCTCCAAAGGTTTGGCTGCAGGCTGCTATTCAAGTATTTTATTCTCTGGGACCTACTTATGGAGGAGCGATAACCATGGCTAGTCATAATAAATTCCATCAGAAATCAGTTATGTAAGTTGAAAACACTATCAGAATGTACTTTAATTGGACGCGAACAAATTATCTAAAATAAAGTCGGTAAGTTATTTTTAAGTAGGTAGGTAGGTAAGTAGGTAAGTAAGTAAGTAGGTAAATATGTAGGTTAATAGATAGGTAGGTAGGTAGGTAGGTAGGTAGGTAGGTAGGTAGGTAGGTAAGTAAGTAAGTGAGTAAGTACAAAAATACATACATAAAAGTATACAAAGATGAACACCCAACCTATAGGACCTATCAGTCACCTAAGCTGTCAATTATTAAGCTGAACAGAATATGAATGTTTTTTAACATACTAAATTTTAGATAGGACACCAACATTAGAAAAAAATCGGGGAATTGAATAAAATAATTGTGTAAAAAATTATAAAATTTTGGGTGTCATTTTTTTTCCCAAAATCATTTACAACGATTTAAAATAATAATTGTTTCCCCCTTTTTCTTTTCTGACCAGAGGGTTTAAATTGATTAAAAACCAAGGGAATCTGAATAATATTTCGACACTAATTTAATCCCAATAAAATCATTTTTATTTAAAGCAATTTTTTAAGGTGTATTTTAAAGGGGCATTTTTTATACTTTGATTTTTAAAAAATACAGCATAAAAATTTCTTTTTTACAGTGTTTCCTTTTAATCTCTGAAATTTAGTAAAATTTTTTTAAAGGGAAATTCGTTGCGTCAAAGAATCGTTCCCAAAAAAACCCTTTTGTCACTTTACTTTTGGGTAGTTTCCTGATAAAAATTTTTACCAGGTGTAAAATTCGTTGTTAACGTAGCCTTTTTATTGGATGATCGTGACATTTATACATTTTGTATAATCTAACGCACGAACGCAGTCACTTTATTAATCAATTTTCATTTTTTCCTTAAATTTCTGTACTATAAATTTGTTACAATATTTTGACGTATTATAATTATGTTCGTGCATAAACAATTGTTAGCAATATAACGTTCGCCTAACGCTTTTGGTTACATGAGCTAGTTTACGGCCATATATACCTGACCATATAGATTGCCAAAAAATCTCCATAAATATAACTAATGATGGCTGAATTGGATTGATTTTGTGCGTCTGGTTGTCGCTAGCGACATCACCACAAAGTGCCAACCGGCTTTTTGTCGGACTTTCGTATTGTCGTCCTGTCCCAAACGGTGCATGCCAAATGGCGCGTTGTCGTGCGACGTGTTGTCGCGATGTCGCATTGTCGCTCGGCTCGAATCGAATGAATTGACAGGGCGATATCACGACATCGCGACAACGCGCATCACGACAACCTGCCGTTTGGAGCGTTTCGCTTGAGTCATAACCTTAGGCGATAACGATATAGGTTGTGTTGTCGCTATCGACAACGCAACGCGCAAAGTGTACCAAATCAGCCACCATATTCTTATGGGACGGGTTTTTGATACATTTTGGGGCGTTGCGTTCTCGATGGTTTATCCCTTTTTCGTTTTTTCCTGCCCCCAAACGGCGCGTTGTCACACTGTGCTTTTTGCTTTTACCCAAAACGCCCGTTTGGCGTGAATTAAAAGGGGGACAGAAAACGACACGCCGGGGGTTTCCGACAAAGAAACGTTCCAAATCAATGCCATAATAAATTACTGGAATGCGGACCATATGATGAAATTAGAAACTTAAGATATGTGATATGGCAGCACTGTATCATTATATACCACTTATAATTTCAGTGAGACAACTATATGCGTTGTGGCAGATGCGTTCACAGCATTCTATGCTGGTCTTGTAGTATTTACAATCATCGGTTTTATGGCTAAAGAGGCGGGCACATCTGTGGAAGAGGCAGCCAAAGCTTCAGGTACATAAATGCGGCTATTTTGTTGCATAACCTTTTTGACTGTATAAATCGGAGACGATTTGAGCCTCGCCATGACAAAATCAACATAATGTGTTTGCCACCAGCATGGATCCAGACCAGCCTGCGCATCCGCGCAGTCTGATCAGGTTCCATGCTGTTCGCTTACAAACCATATTACAAGAGGGGAAACTGATAACGGCAGCATGAATCCTGTGATCATACTGCGCGGATGCGCAGGCTAGTCTGGATCCATGCTGGTCGCAAACGCACTGTGTGATGGTATTGTCTTTGTGCAGCTCATTTATAAAATAAAGTTTTCATTCGCATTTTGACACTTTTATCAAAGTTCGATAGTATATGAATAAAATTTATCGAGATTTAAGAGGAGAAATTAATCATGTTGGTCATTTCCGTTTCGCTATGATGTTATTGTATGTATTTCTAAAGTTATGATGTTATTCTATGTCGTCACTTCAAAGTTTGACATGTTTAATGGAAATAATTAATGAGTTACATTCGAAACTAAGATGGAATTTTGTTTGTTTCGCTTAAAGCTCAATTAAACCTTCAATACGTGGATTTGATAATTAAACTGAACAGTTTATAGTTCTCATAAACAGGACCTGGTTTGGCGTTTATAGCCTACCCAGAGGCAATCGGAAGACTTCCGTTACCACAGTTATGGGCTGCTCTGTTTTTCTTCACTCTCATTACAGTAGCATTTGACAGTGTGGTAATTATTTATTCTCAAGTATATTTTAAACAATCAAATAATCAATTATAAGTGTTGTATCTGTTGTTCGAAGGCTAGTTATAGGGTCTTTATATCAACCGATATTCCGTCTCCCTCTTGTGTATAACCACGGATTTTGTTTTTTTTCTGGTAAACAGAAGTCACCAGTAACTTTTTTTTCTTGTAAAAAATCCCAAAGAAATATTTACCATAACTTTTAAAAAATAACATGTTCACATTTAAAATTTAACTTTAAAAAAAATTTTTGTTAATTTTAATTTTTAATAAATAGCTGTATTTTTTTCTGTTTTGCTTCAATATTTGCGTTAAACACACCCGTGCCGATTTTGCGACTCCGTAAATATGGTATTGCACGGCCGTGCATATATTTTGACGTGACGTCATTTGCGTTATACAAACATAGTGTAAAGACGTGCTAACTGTTAGCGTGATACTATAGGCGCGTCAATGAAAAATGACTCTTATTTCACTTTAAATGGTCTTTATTTTGGTATGTGATAAATAGAATATTAAATTCGTGTAAGTTCATTAATGAATTTATTACACTCGTTGAATAAAATAATATTATGCTCGCCCGAGGATCGCATAATATAATTTTATTCAACTCGTGCAATAATTTCAGTATTGAACTTACACTCATTCAATATCCTCTATTTATGTCATTCACTCGATAATCTTATATAAACTTTCTTAATATGATTCCCTTTCTTGAATAAACTCAAAATGTCAAGCTCAATGTTTTTACTGAATATGCATTCATATTTTTAACAATTGTACTATATTAATGTTTTGCATTACATTTTAGTTTGCGTTTTTGGAGACGGTCACAGGGACGTTACTGGACGTGTTTCCTAGACAACTGTTACCATACAAGACGTTGGTCCTCATCGGGACAGCTTTGTTCTTGTTCATCCTCGGACTTCCATTGTCTATGAGTGTAAGAAATAGTTATGAAAACTCTACGATTTTATTTCCTGGATTTTGCGTACTTTATTACTGTGTCACAACGACAGCAACAGTGCCATCCTTTTAGTTTTGCAGAGTAGATAAGAATTTCAACTTGAATATGCGCAAGAATAACAACAGTTATACACGAAGCTATATTGTTCGATGCTTAACAAGCGCACAGAGTAAAATAAGCTATTTCAAAAAGATAAAATATACTTCAATATTTGTCATATTTGTTTTCAACTCGTACGAGTTATTTGATTACACGTGCAGCAGTTACTTCCCTTGATTAGTACAGAAGAGTAGCGAGAAGTTGTCTCTGTCAGACGTGAACTCGGAGAGGTTGTTTCAATGATGTTTGGTTCTTTGTGGTATTAATACAAACATATTGATAATCCTGCCAAATTCAAAAATCTTGGACCGAGGTTATGAAGTCCTAACTCAGATCGCAGGCATATGATTAGTCAAAAACTGGCAAAGAATGTACATTGACCAATGAAAATCCTGAGATTTGAGATATCATAGAGACTCTAAATTATTTTAATGTCTTCACGTGCACTTATTCATCCATCATCGCAGGGCTATTGTTTATTTTCAGGGAGGCATATACCTGTTCCAACTATCTGACTGGTATATATCAGCATACGCACTCTTGTTTGGTTCTGCGCTGGAATCTATCATGGTGTGTTGGATATATGGTAAGTGTCGGGAAGAACGCGAATATGTTTATGTGTTTATTTTATTTTGATCCGTATTGTAAGATATCAATTTCTTTGTTTTCTTTAAATATCTTAAAAATATTTTATATATAAAGACATCATATATTATTACTAGCGGCTCGGGTTATACAACTTTTTATTTAGGATCATATAACCTTTCAGAAATATTTATAACAAATTTATAATATAGTAAGCATCATGTTTTAGAAAAAAAAGTTAGATTTCTGAATTGACAGCAGCCCATTATTTTATAATACTGCACTTTTGTAATGTCGCTTTTCATTGGATAATTGTGGCGCGTGTATAGTTTTATATACACGGCTGCTGTCGATTTATATAGGAATATATATATTATTTATAACATACTGTTATAGGGGCAGATAGATTTGCTGAGGATATTGAGCTGATGACAGGACGTAAAGTTTCCAAAGTATTGAGAATATTCTGGTGCGTCATTATGACCGGCATGTTGACGGTAAGAATAATGTCGTCTGCGTGCATTATTTCTTACTTAACTTAAAATCCGTTCTTAAAAATGCTTCCGAGGGATCACTCTTTTTCAAGTTTATTTATACTTCACACAGCTTTTAATGGTTAGCCTGTACTACGCATGAACAGTGAGTACCGCTTAAGCCGGTGCTAGTGATCGTTAAAGATGTTGCACCATTTCATTATCCCTCATGTGCAGACTAACTCAAATCGAGTTATGCAATTTTATATCAATGTTAGTTTGTATTTTCTATATCATTTTACTAGTTGTACCTATATTTATTGCTATTCGTATAACTAGATCAATTTGTATAATTTTGCAAATGTCATTATATGTGTATAGCTATGCCACTTTTGATACAAATTTGTCAAGCCTTGCCCCTTTGTATGTTTATTTGTTTAGCTATGCAAATTTAACAACCGTACTATTTTGTGAGCTTCAAAGGTGATTGACGTTATTTAATTAACCAGCACCCAAACAATAAAAGACCCATAGTAGGTCAAGTCATTTACGCATTTTCAAAGCAGAAAAAAGAAAGAAAGAAAAAAAAAGATTCATCAAAGTGCTTTTTTACTTACAGCTGACCTGTATTGTTATAATATTCACCTACTCAACTCCAAGCTATGGGGATTCCTATGTTTACAAACCGTATGCAATCGCCATTGGAATGATGATGTCCGTTATACCATTTGTTCCGGTCGTCTGCATCATGGTAAAAGAACTTCTGAACGCTGAAGGCCCAATACTTCAGGTAAAAATATACCGTCATAACAAGGAAATATTTTGCATATTTACCTATCTATTTCACAAATTTATCAACCTCCAACGTTTCTAGGGGTTAAACCCCTCTTTTTCAAGGAGTTGGTGTCTATTTTATAAATCACATATTTATCTTATTTTTTCTGACACTCTGTATTGTACAATACTAGATGTGAAAAAGATAGTTATCTATTAATTGTTTAAAAAGTGATTTCGAAAATAAATATTTTTGCAACAATAAGGTGATGGATCTATGCATAATTGTGTTAACGTGTATTGTGTTAATGAAAGTTTGTTTTACGCCAGATTTGATAGTATTCAAGTACAGTAGTAAAGGTTTCTGCTAGTATCCTCGTTTGTATATTAAATTTTAATCTAGCACCAGATTAATGTGAGCCGTGTCACGACAAAACCAACATAGTGCGTTTGCGACCATCATGCATCCGCGCAGTCTGATCAGGATCAATGCTGTTCGCTATCAGTTTCTCTTCTTGTTATAGAGTTGGTAAGCGAACAGCATGGATCCTGATCAGACTATGTTGGTTTTTTTCTTGACACGGCTCATATATATTTTAAAACTATGTCTAAGAACATCATTTTGGCTATTTAACTGATACAAACTCACAATCAAATGGCCGAGATATCTAGTCTCATTCTGCTTATTTAATGTTGCATCAATACAGGGAAAATTAATCCATCTAATCAGCACATTCCCATTTTTCAGATATTTAAATTGTAAAATTGTCCTGTTTATTGTTCCTTTGGGACGGAGTAGTTCCGTAGTATCCTATAAAGATAGATAACGACTTCACAAGATCTCAACAAAGGGAAACAAACCCTGTTGGATTGTTTGTATCATATAAGCCCCTAACCGCTGTGGGTTTGAATCAAGTCAGCGGCGTTGGATGATTTTATATGAGTAAGCCTTTCTACTAGATTACAAAAGTCGCAGCTACTCATTAAAGCTGGAGAGTCACCGTATAACCATATTTCATCCAAACGAACACAATATTCAAAATTTCAATTTTCCACATTTCAGAGATTCCAGACTTTACTGCAGCCATCTTCGAACTGGGAACCTATCAACAAACAAGCCAAAGAGATATATCTAACAAGACCGTACAGATACGAAGACACGTTTGTGAAACGGATTCGTGCAAATATCCTTGGAAACAAAGATACACCTTGGTTTTAATAGCAGATTTTATGGCGATTTCCCCCGTTACATCAAACTCCTCACGCTTTGCTTCTTTAATTACTGATCAGGGAAAGTAACCGCTGCGGCTTCACCCCAGTGATATTTATAAAAGCATTATCTCCCTTTATACTCAGAAGTACTTGAGTTGTTGGTGATGTATGTTGTTTTAAAATACATTGTTTGTGAGTGTTTGTAATGAAAGCTATAGCTTATCTTAAGTGAACATACAATGTGCCGGTGAAAGCAGACGACATATCATTTCAATTGGGTGTGTTTGATTTATTTCCGAGTAATGTAGATCTACAGTGTTATACATTTGCAAAATATAAATGCAATTACATCCGGTGATCTGTAAAGTAGGAGAATCAGCTTTATCATAAATGGACTATCTTTAATGTTTTAATAATAATAATAATAATAATAATAATAATAATAATAATAAACTAAAAACATTGATTGTCCGAATCAATTTCTATTAGTGAATAGTTTAATATTTACAACAGTCAAAGTCTTACGTTTTTTATTTATTTGCCCAATTGCACCAATTTCCTCGTTGTTAATAAAACGACAGGGGGGGGGGGCATTACACAGATTCTGCAAACAACTGACCGAACTATAATCAAAACCTATTACGCAAGTCTGTAATCACACACATTGAAAAAGTGCATTTCATAATAAACATAAATATATATATAGCTCACAGCAAACAGTTAATAATACATGTCCAACTTCTGGTTTTCTAGCACATAGTCCTGTGTTTACCATTCTTTTTGTCTCGAAAAGAAATGACAAAAATAGCAATATAAATTACTTTTAAAAATATGACCAATATCAACGTCAATAGGTAGAATCACATGATTCACAGTTTCTTCCGTCTTAAAGAATGCACAATCTGAAAATAAAAACTAAATGGGTAGATAAGCACCTTCTTTGTCACTATTTTAAGTCATCTGAAAAGTTGATGTCCAGACTAGCTCTATGAATAATACATTCCAATCTGACAGGTACACTATCAAAATACATGGGTCAAACGAGCACCACTAAAATCAATTAACTTGATAACTGAAACAACATACCAACCACTGAAACTTAAAATAATTAGAAGCTCAAATATCCACTTCAATTTAAAAACTGTCTCTTATTTGTAAATTTGACCTTTCTTATTCGAAACTATCGAATCAAAACTGTGTACTGCCTCCTAAGGGTGGTCACTAGTGACGCATTTGGACTAAATTTTCAAAAGGTACAAACCGCTACCTGAATGATATTTTATTATTTTATATATAATTATACAGTTATATTTTAAATCATTTGATATCATTTTGTCTCAAATATTGCAGTTCAGTTTATATAATTGGTATCAGAAAAGAAATACAAACTCAATGGACTTGGAAAAATGTTTATTTATGTACTTATAAAAAGGGAGTTACGTTTGTTTCGCAACGAAGTCTCGAGAAAAGATACTCAAATAAAGATATTTATATTATCCGGGCAGTTTTCTTTAAAAAAATATTTTTTTTATGTATCTCTCCTTGTATTTACTATATATATACATATATTTGTGTTCAAGTAATAAAGACATTGGATGCTAGGTTCTATTACAATTCAATGCTCAGGGAATAATATATTATAAATAATTATATATATGAAAATATTTATTAAAAAGATTCATTTATCATACATAAACTTCGGCTTGTTAGGGTGAAATAGAAGCCCCAAAGAAAGCCCAAAATGGCAAAATTGAAAATGTACGGTTTCATTGAGCGTGTTCATGAACAGAACTGTAAAGTGCAAGTTACCGTTCACATCCCTAGTACCGACTTAAGCAGTATACAACCTTTAACATGAAATGGTAATATTTTGAATCTGCAGATGTGTTCATACGGCAGTTACCGTGGAAACCTTTTTCACGTTACAGAAGGTCAATAATATAATCTTTGATAATATGCTTCATTAAAAGAAGAAATAGAAGTAGTATTTAATGTTCTTAATGCCGAAGATTTAATATGTTTATAGTAATATAGTTGTCAAAATCCATTTCCAACGCAAGGTATTTAGATGTTGCACTTTCCAAATGCATGTACAATAAAATAAAGGGGAAAAAACAACATAAATTTTGATTTTTGAAAATTCACTTCTGTGAAGTAGATTAGCTACATAGTAGTTGATGTATTGTATTGCGTGTTCATTTTTATAAAATGTGTGCCTTTTTTGTGTTTTAATAAAATTATGTATGAAGATCATTATTCTTTTGTGCTTACTGATTGTACAATTTTAGGATTCTATGTTGTAATGACTATGGAAACCTGAAGAAAGGAGCGACGTGGCTAGAAAAGGACAATCATTTGTAAAGCTAAATATAACAAGAGGACCATGATGGCTTTAATATTGCTCACCTCAATATTGATACTCTTAATGACAAGGAACAAGTAATTATGTAAAGTATAATGAAAGCAGATATAAAATCTAAATCCTAAACTGATATCGCAATGTTCCTACTTGTTTCTGATATAGTTCATATTACCGGTTTCTATTGCTAAGGGAAAACAATAGTTACTTAAGAGTCGTGGGTTGCTAGACAAAATCAATGAGTTCCTTGAAAGTCAGTGCCTGCTATGAAATTCATGGTAGATTTACTCGTTGCTATGCTATGGAAAGCTAATATTTGCAATGGAATTCACTGGTTACTATGGAAATGTACAGTTTGTTATGAAAAGTAAACGGGTGCTATAAAGTCAATGTTTACTATTGAAGTCAATAGTTGTTATCGCATGCACACGGTGGATATGGGAGTCATCGGTTGCTATGGAAAGTCAATGGTTGCTAGAGGAAGTCAATGCTTGCTATTGAAGACATTGGTTGCTATGAAAGTAAATGGTTACTATGTAAAGTCACTGATTCCTATTGAAGTCACTGGTTGCTATATATAGATAGATGAAATATTGGTTATGGTTGCTATGGAGAGTCAAAGGTTGCAATATTGGTCACTGGTTGCTGTTAAATTTTAAAGTCAATGGTAGCTATATTGAGGCACTTGTTGCTATGGAAAGTCATTGATTGCTAAAAATGTTTATGGTTGCTATGGAAAGTCACTGGTTGCTATGTTAGTAAATGGCTGGTATGAAAATTAAATGGTTGCTTTTAAAGTCACTGACTGCTATGGAAAGTCAATGGTTGCAATATAGGTCACAGGTAACTATGTTAAGTATTGTTGCCATGGGAAGGAACTGGTTGGCATGGAAAATTACTGATTGCTAAAGATGTCAATGATTACGATGTATGTCACTGATGAGAAGTCAATGGTTGATATCGAAGACACTGGTTGCTATGGAATGTCACTTATTACTTAAGAAATCTGTGGTTGCAATGTAAAGTCAGTGGTTGTTATGGAAACTTATGACTGCCGCGGAAAGTCAATAGTTGACGTGGAAATTCAATGGTTGCTATAGAAACCAATGGTTACTATGGAAAGTCACTGGTTGCTATTGAAGTCATTGAAGTCAAAGTTTTTACTTTATACATTAAAGGATTTATTAATGACCTCTGGCACGTAACCAGTTTTCACCTAAGGGCTTTTATTGAATAAACTTGGAAGACACCTACTAGAAGATGTTTCATTCTAAATATTTAAACTCTAGCTTTGGGTTTTTGAGAAGATTTTATTTCTTTCTGTTCTTTAAACAATTTTATGAATAGCTTCAAGCCAAGAACATTCCTGCTCAGTTTTAACAATATAAGCTTATTGGTAAAGGAGGAGATGTTGTTTTAAAACAAATTTTGACACCATTAACGACGGACGCAGAGTGATTCCAAATGCTCACACCTATGTGCTCAGGGGAGCAAATAGTTTATTCTCTGTACATTAACATGAAATTGCCTATAACATATGCTGTTTCTAATTTAAAAAACACACTTAATCAAAAGCAAACAATAGGCATAACCAGAAAAAGTTAATTTAATTCGTGCACATTTTTATCCAGCCATAAATAATCTCACCTAAAATTTTTGATTTGAAATCCATCATTCATTGACAAGTGCACTTTGATCACAATATGGCTACCATTTGAATTTCACCGACAATGAGCATGCAAAATATACTGTAATAATTTAACTTCCACTGACACTACCTATAATAAAATAAGACATGAAATCAGCGATTGTATGAGGAAACTCCTATATATTAATAAATCATCGATACTCTATGATTTATATAACCGATCTATCCCAATATGCGGAACTATAATATATAATTATTTCATAAATGACGATTTAATACAACCGTTTTGCACAACTTTGTGACAAGTTACAATTCATTCATCGGTTACCTTTATTTTGACTGCCCTGATGGATGTTTGATTTTATTAGTTATAAAGCCATTAACTTCCTCCTACACAGTCTAGTTAACGTTGTAAACCATCTTAACCCGTTGTTATGTTGTAAGAGCGTTTTCATCGGGTGACATTTGTCCCTTTGGAGTTAAAAGTTAAGGTAGCACGCGACACTTTACGAATTTTAGAGTAGCGTCTGCAGAAAAGTTGACAATATTTCTGACTTTGTCATGATATACATGTATATACAAAAATTGGTTGAAGCTGTTGGAATAAAATCAACAGAATCTAATCCGAAATATGGTGAACTATGTGCATGCCAATTTTCAAGACGTTTCGAAAAGTGTCGCGCTCTACCTTAAATATTATTTAACGTTAAAAGGGAGATAAAATTAGACCTGGTAGATTTTCATCATTTAGATTAATAGCTTGTATTGGTGCAACGCTCCCATTCATTTTTTCTTCTTCCTTTAAATTAATTAAAAAAAGGCTTTCATAAATATGACTCATTCGACATGTTATATCTATTATAATGCTTTGTAAACATCCGTAATTTTTTTTTTGTATGGGATGTTTCCTCGACTCCGATGGAAAACGGTACATGATGATGTGTTCTAGATAAAACTCAAACGTTCAAATGAAATGACTACCTTATCCCTTATTAATCGAATGTCAGTATGTGTCCTGAATAACTGATAATTGTTTTAAACGTTCAGTTTCAGTTACAATGAAATATATACAAATTTGTATCAAATGTACACATTTATACGTGTCCTTTTTCGGGTTCAGCTACATACTGTACCTGCAGTCGTCAGCAGTTACGTGTACATAGGGCAATGTGAGATCACAACGTTACGTTGTTTCGTTTTGACCAGCGCGAAGCTGTGGAATTAACCCGCTGTATAATCGGTCATTGTTTCGTGTAATCGCCTGTCGTATCGCATTGTCGCGATGTTGTACAACGGGTCACATTGCAAACGGGTTCTCGGATTGCAATTAGCAATGTTTCTTTTATGGTACTGGGTCTCAGTCTGCATACAACCAATGTGCGTCACCCAATCTCACAACATGTGAAAACATGAAAATGTGTGAATTAGTATAATATGTAATATTGATATATGTTCGTTCTACATATTCCAAATGATCTCTTTTTTAAAACCTTTTGTCATGACTGAATATTAAATAAATGTGCTAAGAAGAA